TCTCTCCCTCTTATACCAGGTGAGGCCCGCCCCCCCCCAATCTTTTTTAAAAGACTAGTTCTCCCATCATTAGGTCCGGTCTCATATGGAAGGCAAGTCTCTATTATAGAAGGTAAATACCCCCATTCTCTTACAGAAGGTAAGCCCCCATTCTCATTTTAAGGAGAACCAGTAGATCACCAGAACACACAAAGGGCTTCTTGTTACCCAAACATTTATTGATTATGTCACATTAAGTCTAGGGAACAACTTTTCGGGGTCACGCATGGCCCCTTCATCAAGTTGACAAAACAGTTACTTTGTCAACCTGATGAAGGAGCCCTGCGTGACCCCGAAACATAGTTCCTTAGACCTAATGTGACATAATCAATAAATGGGTAACAAGAAGCCCTTTGCGTGTGCTGGTTATCTACTGCTTCTCGTTTGAATGTTCCACACTGCGCCATCTGTGGTATCACTACCAAGCACCACTGTCATCTACAAGGTCGCTAAGTCGTATGGAGTGCAGGTGGCTTTCGATAATACCCTTCTCATTTTAGGAAAGTACTTCCCTCTCCTATAGAAAGTATGCTGTCCTGCCTTCTTAAAAAGAAAAGCCCCCTCTCTCTGATAGAAGGTAAGTACCCCTTCTCTCTTATTAAGGGTAAATCCCGATTACGTTGCAGAATGTAAGCCCCCATTTTCCCTCATACATAAGTTAAGTTCCCCCCTTTTTCTCCTGTAGAAGATAGTACCCTGCCCCCTCTAGAAGGTAGGTCCTCTCGCTCTTATACAAGGAAGTCTCCCCTTTCTATCTCAAAGCAGGTAAGTTCCCCTTCTCTTATAGCAAGTAATTCTCCCCTCTCTCCTTTATAGCAGGTAAGTCTCCCCTTTCACTCTTATAGCAGGTATTTCACCCTTTCATACCTTTCATTTTCAAAGCAGGTAAGTCTTTTTCTTAATCTTATAGCAGGAACATCACCCTTTTCCTCTTATAGATGGTAAGTCTACTTTCATTTCATAGCAGGTCTCCCTCTCTCTTCCTCTTATAGCAGGTAAGCCTTTCAATTTATAATGAATGGGGCCTCTCTCACTCATATAGCAGGTGAGTTTTATTTTAATGTAGCAGGTAAGTCTCCCCTCTCCCTCCTATTGCAGGTAGGTCTCCCCTCTCCCTCCTATTGCAGGTAAGTCTCCCCTCTCCCTCCTAGTACAGGTAACTCTTTCCTTTCCCTCTTATAGCAGGTAACTCTCCCCTCTATCCCTTATAGTAGGTAGGTCTCCCCTTTCCCTCTTGTAGCAGGTAACTCTCCCCTCTATCCCTTATAGTAGGTAGGTCTCCCCTTTCCCTCTTGTAGCAGGTAACTCTCCCCTCTATCCCTTATAGTAGGTAGGTCTCCCCTTTCCCTCTTGTAGCAGGTAACTCTCCCCTCTATCTCTTATAGTAGGTAGGTATCCCCTTTCCCTCTTATAGCAGGTAACTTTTCCCTCTATCCCTTATAGCATGTAAGTCTCCCCTTTCCCTCTAGTGCAGGTAACTCTCTCATCTACTCCTTATAGCAGGTAGGTCTCCCCTTTCCCTCTTATAGCAAGTAATTCTCCCCTCTATCCCTTATAGCAGGTAACTCTCCCCTCTATCCCTTATAGCGGTAGGTCTAACCTTTCCCTCTTATAGCAGGTAAGTCTCCCCTTTATAGTAAGTAGGTCTACCTCTAACCCTTATAGCAAGTAGGTCTCCCTTTTCAGTCTTATATCAGATAGTCTCCCCTTTCTCTCTATCAGGTAAGTCCCCAGTGTTGTGGGTAGGTACTCACTCCGTCTTGCGCCCCAGGATGGCCTTGCAGAGGGTGGGGGGCTTGTGCTGGACCTGGGGGGACCCCCGCGGTGCCGGGATCGGTTCGGGCTCCTCGAGTTGAGGCTGCGGTTGGTGAGCGGGGCTTTCCGGGGCCGCCTGGATCTGCGCTGGGCTGGGGGAGGGTGCCGGGATCGGGCTTGGCTGGTGTTGGTTCCGGAGGCTCCGGTTCTCGGTACCCAGCTGGTCCAACCTCCGCTCCAGCTCATCGATCCTCTGCCGCTGGGTGTGGATGAGGCTCTGCTGGTTCTGCACGATGCTGGTCAGTTCCCGCAGGTAGAGCACAGCCCGAACCGGGTTCTCCAGGAGGTTCTCCATCCCGGGACCCGGCAAGCACAACACTGAACGCTCTGCACCGCCGAGTGACAGCACCGCCCGCCGAGAGGAGGAGAAGAAGGAGGAGAAGGAGGAGAGCGCAGCATCAGCACCATTGGCAGGTTATGTAACGGGAGGGAGGGGAAGGCTGGACCAAGCATCTCTACAGTGTTCTATATACAGAGTGTCAGCTCTGGGGGACAGAGAGAAGGGTGTCTGGGTCCAGAATCACTGAAATGTTCTATATAGTGTCAGCTTTGGGGGGACAGAAAGAGGGGTGTCTGGGTCCAGCATTACTTTCAATGCTCTATATACAGACATATAGAGCATCAGCTCTGTAGGAGAGAGAGAGAGGGGTGTCTGGGTCCAGAATCACTACAATGTTCTTTAGTGTCAGCTCTGGGGGGACAGAGAGAGGGGTGTCTGGGTCCAACATTACTTTCAATGTTTTATATACAGACATATAGAGTGTCAGCTCTGGGAGTACAGAGAGAGGTGCCTGAGTCCAGAATCCTTGCAATATTCTTTGTACAGTGCCAGCTCTTGAGGTACAGAGAGGGGGATGCATGGATCCAGGATCATTTCAATATCCTATATACAGCCAATGTGTCAGGTCCCTTGGTACACAGGAAAAGGGGGGGGAGGGGACCTGGAGCCAGAATCACTACAATGTTCTATATACAGATTTATTGTGTGCCAGCTCTGGGGGTACAGAGAGAGAGAGAGGGGGGTTTGTGGACCCACAATCATTACGATATATACTATATACAGCCATATTATGTGCCAGCTCAGGAGGTACAGAGGGAGAGAGGGGTACCTGGATCTAGAATCACTACAATATTTTTTATGCAGTTGAGTGCCAGCTCTTGGGGTATAAAGGATAAAGGGAGGCCTGGATTTAGAATCACTTCTCAACAACCATATACAGTAGAGTGCCAGCTCTAGGTGTGCCTGGCTCCAGTATCACTCTTCAGAATGTAAGCCAGCTTTGTAGGCATTAGGATAGGAGTGTCAATCCATTGCTGCCTACTACCCATTATATCTCTTCTACCAAGCACCAGCTAAAAGCCAAACTCCAGCGAAAACCTTTTCTTATATAGAGTGTGGAAATTTAGAAGCTTTGTCAGATTTTTATTGCTGCCTGTGTCCTTGTGTCCAGGTGACACCTACACCTTTTCATTTCTTGTCCAGGTGACACCTACACCTTTTCATTTCTTGTCCAGGTGACACCTACACCTTTTCATTTCTTGTCCAGGTGACACCTACACCTTCTTATTTCTTGTCCAGGTGACACCTACACCTTCTTATTTCTTGTCCAGATGACACCTACACCTTCTTATTTCTTGTCCAGATGACACCTACACCTTCTTATTTCTGGTCCAGATGACACCTACACCTTCTTATTTCTTGTCCGGATGACACATACACCTTCTCATTTCTTGTCCAGATGACACATACACCTTCTCATTTCTTGCCCAGGTCACACCTACACCTCATTTCTTGTCCAGATGACACATACACCTCATTTCTTGTCCAGATGACACCTGCACCTTCTCATTTCTTGCCCAGGTCACACCTACACCTAATTTCTTGTCAAGGTGACACCTATATGCAGGCAGCAAACTTGACAGAAGTTCAGATACTCACCCACTCTATTAAAATGCTCAAAGAAAACGTTTTGGCTGGAGCTGGACTTTAACAGAGGCTGCCCAACCTTCCAATCAACTCCTCCATTTGCACATTACATAGATTGCCAGCTCTTGGGGTGCAATGTTAGTTTTCCCAGTCACAAGACTGCTTGTGCTTTGTAAAGGTGATAGGTACACTTCAAAGCGGTGGGTAAGACAGCTGATAAGAACGCACTGTTCTATACAGTTAATGAGAACAACTTTAGTTTAATCACATTCAGAGACAGGAGAACAGAGGCAGCAAATAAAGGGATTTATAGGAGGACCGCTGGTGGGATGGAGCCGAGGTAGGAGAGAGGATGAGATTAGAGGTCAGGAATAGAGAGGAGGGGCAGTCAGTGACAGCAATCACACAAGGGGGGATTACAGCAAAAAAAAAAATGTCAGAAACAAAACCAACCATGTTCTGTGTTAACCAGGAATAATGCCAAATATACAGTGCATTATATACAACCGTCACAATGATGTAACTAAAGGAGCTTGCTGAACTCTATTTCAAAATGCTAGCTGCCTGACTCTGGCTTTGGCATTATGAGCCAGTGTGGTGTAGCTAAAGTCAGAACATGGGATCTGCATATGTGTTCCTGGTCTGTGTCTCACAAAGTAGAGAAACCTGAGAATCAGCATAGCAGCCAGTAAAGTGACTTTCTCAGAAGATCAGCTGTGACAGCCCCCCCTCCTTACTTTTGTAACAGGTTTGCTTTATGGACTAACTGAAAAACAATTACAGCGCAGGAGAGAAAGCCTCCTTACAACATATATAATGTTACAAGCATGGCGGGCATTAACACTGAACGACCTGCGTGTTACACAATCAAAAGGGGCGTTCATGGCGAAAATGTTACCTCCCTGTAACATATACAATACGCAATACGAGGAATTGAAGAATATCAGGTAAACAATGATTACATTATTTCATTATATTTATCATATTATTTATTAATATATTTTAATAATTATGTAGCCTTAAATCCAGACAGCAGGTGGAGTTCTCAACTCCTTTCCATGGTTCCCTCTATCTCTTTTGCTCCTTTGTTGTAAAAAAAGCTTGTTGTTCATTTCAGTAGCTAAATGTACAAAGGACTTGTTTCTAATCAGATGTCTTCATCCAAAGTTCCAATCAAACCAAGCAAGCCTCTTCTAGAGACACTGCTAAATAAAGAGTTAAGCCACGGATATGATTTCTAATTCTATCCATCCAGTTCTGAGATTTCTAAAGATCCGGTAGGAAGCAAAGTCAGTGACCTCACTTTCCTTTTATCAAGCAGCACAGCTTGGCCACAACCAGTGATTGGACAGTGCAGGACCAACAGCAGACTGATGAGGTCATCAGTCTGCTCTCTCCACTTGTCTACTTGTCTCCTGGGAGCATGTTTGAATACAGCAGACCCGATTGGCTCCTAGTGCTGCCTCTCCTTGTTGTCCCCGTACTGAGTACAATGATGATTTCAGGACGGTGTTCCCAGATTCAGGATCGTAGACTAGCTGCATTTAAAAATAAGCACAATAATTTTGTTTATTAAGGATGTAACTGCTGAAGTGTTTTTTTTAATATCTTAATGTGTCAGTGTAACACTTCCAGGTATTTGTTACCTCTCACAGAGATCACAGTACTCCCCCTGACAAGGCCTTCATCTGCTTTTCTCTCCAGAAGGACGGCATCATCTATGTTCAGGCATCATCCAGGGTCACCATCTACTTCCTGGACTGATATGCCGGCTCAGTGATGACACAATCACGTCAGTCCTGGTACCTTTGGATATAATTCTGCTTTGTCCGTCTTGTGATGTACACACATCTGATATACTGATTACCCAGAAATATATTCCACCAATCCCCCCCCTTCCAATGACCACCAAATAGTCACTTCCTGTCTACATGCATTCTCTCCGGCATCCTGTACATCATTGTTCTGTACTGGCTTCCTATAGCTGACAACATAGGACCATGCCTGTGCAATGTGTTTTAGCATGGTCGCTCAAACAGGGGAGCATGTGACAGCGTGACAACACAGGAGCACAACTGGGAAACAGGGACAGAATGTTGTCACCTCCTAATAGGAGGTTACAGAAAAAAGACCTTCATTGCAGGATCACCGGGACTATTTTAATGAAAGCTGCAGAGTTAAGAATATTGACAGTGGCTTTTGAAACTACATAATGACATGAAATTACATTTTGAATAACACATTAAATCTCATATTCTGAGGATTCAAGGTTTTCCATTTACATTTTGTCTTTTGGTTAAATCCAAGGACGTGTGTTTTTTCAATCAATTACTGAGCCATCAACATCCACACTACCCCCCTCCCCCTCATTATTCATAATAAACAGTCTGATCCAAATTATTGTCCAAATACCATTTGATTCATAATATTTACATTTTATTGTGTTAATATTGTTTCCCCAAAAATATCACATGGCAACTACCAAAACACCTCATGTAATCTAACATAATATATAGTCAAAATACCAATTACTCCCTGTACACTCAGCCAGCACAGCACTGGCAGCCATAACGTGAGCAGAGCTCTGCTGTGTCTTCTTTGCTGAGACATAACAGCAGCAAAACGGGGAGGGGGTCATGTGACCAGGAGGAGGGGGTCATGTGACAAGGAGGATTCTGGAGCCCTCCAGCAGCCACGCAACCAGGAGGGAGGGGTCACATGAGTGCTGTCACATGACCAAAAAGAGGCAGCACAGCCAGGAGGGGGTCATGTGATGGTCATATGACAGGCAGGAAGCAAAGCTGGGGAAGGTAAGTTTTGTGTGATGTGTGTGTTCCTATGTGTTGTGTATTGTGTGTTATCATAGTGGGAATCCCTGGCTGGTTTGCTCACACACACATATCTGATATGTCAGGCATGCCACACATAATTGACACAGAGAGCAGAATTAATCTTTAAAGGGCCACATTTACTTCATTTCACTTAGGGCTTGTTTACACTAGCAGCGTTGGACTGCATCACCCAATGCAAGGACAAGCAACATCACCTTATATCCTATTGTTTTCAGTACACAACAATGTGCTGGGTTAGTGTATGCTGGAAAAAAAAGGACATGTTTTGTTTTTGTGCATTGCTGTAACTCTTCACAACACACAGCACATTGCCATAGAATACAATACAAAAAAGGACATTGCAGCTCACCACAGTACAATTGTAAAACAGCATGCGTGCCATGCGCACACAGACACATGCGCTATTGTGTGAACAAGCCCCATATGAACATAAAAATAACAACATTGTATGCTGGAGAAAAGGGGCCACACAATATTTCTTAGAGTATTGAGGTGCAAGGTTACTTAAAGTGACTTTGTCATGAGAATGGGATGGGGGGGATGCCACTGCTGGTCCTCTTTTGAATATGTGACTCGGCTAGCTGTGTGTGTGTCTTAAACGACCCCAGACAAGCCCGCCTTACATGAATTCCTTCTCTCTATATTCATCTTCAGTCAGAAACTCAGTGGGAATTGATCAAAACTGGAGCAGATACTCCTAGCAACCAATCAGCTTCTCTTTTCAGTTTGTTCAGTTAATATTTGAAAATTAAAGAGAGAAGCTGATTGGTTGCCATGCACAGCTCCTCCAGATTGTGTCTGCTCCAGTTTTGATAAATTCCCCTCACTAAGTTTCTGACAGCCAGGGAGCTAGCATTCTTAAAGACGCGTTTAGCAGTGGCAGCCCCCATGCTTTTCCCATGAATTATTCATTTTAAAAAGACCAGTCAGGTCTCATGATATAAAAGCGTCACTCTCCCGCAATAAAAGAGGTAATATACTCACACCCCTCCCTCCCCCCCCCACTGTTCCAGTGCTGCAACTTCCATAACATCAATCAACACTTATGGCAGAGCTGGACAAATCCCAGGAGCCAGGTCACCATTGCTCCTTAAAAATGACAGCTGGTGCCTAACTTCTGGTTCTGAAAAAAATCCTGCTGACTCCTGTATTGGACAGGCTGCCCCCTGAATTCCATGATTATGTATCTACCCCTGAATTATGGGAGTGTCCGATGCCTGTTTTCCATGCATCCTCCTACGCCACTACAGGGCACAGCAGTGATGATGGGGTTGGAGGATGGAGCCAGGACATGCGGCGGTGAACACAGAAATCCAACACTTATAAAGCGTTGCATTCCAAAGATGCTTATGGTGGCTGCAGCGCTGGAGTGAAGGGAAGGTTGGAGACATGGGCCACCTAAGAGGTGAGTATAATACCGTTTGTATTGTAAAGAGCTGATGGTTTTATATCTTTAATGACCTGACAGGGTTTCTATAAGAAAGTGGAGCCTTTTTCCTTCAGAGAACAGCTGTGGCCATGGGGGCAACTATAGTGATGGTAGACAATAGGAATGCTAAGGAGCCCAGAAGCACAAGGGGGGGCTAGTGCTGTAAGTGATTTGTAGCAATACCATAAAACATGGGGGAAAATATATGATTGCTATTGAAGCATTTAGTTGTTGCCTTTGTGATGGAGATTAGAACCATGACATCACCACCCCTCGTCCAATCAGAGAATATCTAGTATTCATTGATGAAAATACTAGGTGTTTGCTGAATGGCCACTGTGCTGAGTGAGAGACCCCTTGTGTTTTCAGAGCAGAGGGGAAGTTGTTCAGTACAGCAGCTGTAGCAGGACCCGGAAGATTGCTGTAAAGCTGCGGCTACTACAGTGTTGTGCCGGGTCTCTGTGGCCCTACCAGGGTTAAACTATGTATACTTACACTGAGCAAAGCTGGACCAACGCAAGTATAATATATAAATCATTATAGCTGGAGTTCAACTTAAAGTATAGTAAAGATGTTCCTTTAAATTGTGTTTTGTTATTTTGAGTTGTTCAGCGCTGGGTAATATAAAAGTTATAATATAAAGTGGGGGTAGGCAACCCATCTTTTAGGGGCATGTGACCGATAGATCTTGACAACTTCTGCCATGCTGCCAGCTCCTAACCCCACCATGCCGCCTCTCAGACCTCAGATCAGAGTGGCAATGTGAACATAGAGAAGAGCTAGGCTCTTCCTCAGCTCTGACGTATCATGACAGAGCAAAGTGGAAACATAGGAGGACTTCACTCATTTCTGCCCCCTGAGCTCTGCATTACTTTATCCTGACCCCTGCACTCTACGTTACATACTACTGAAATCTGCATTACTCCTGACCCCTGTGCTCTGCATTACGTACTGCTGACCCCTGAACTCTGCATTACTCCTGACCCCTGTGCTCTGCATTACTTTATCCTGACCCCTGCACGCTACGTTACATACTACTGAAATCTGCATTACTCCTGAACCCCGTGCTCTGCATTACGTACTGCTGACCCCTGAACTCTGCATTACTCCTGACCCCTGTGCTCTGCATTACTTTATCCTGACCCCTGCACGCTACGTTACATACTACTGAAATCTGCATTACTCCTGAACCCCGTGCTCTGCATTACGTACTGCTGACCCCTGAACTCTGCATTACTCCTGACCCCTGATCTCTGCATTACTCCTGACCCCTGATCTCTGCATTACTCCTGACCCCTGATCTCTGCATTACTCCTGACCCCTGATCTCTGCATTACTCCTGACCCCTGTGCTCTGCATTACTTTATCCTGACCCCTGCACGCTACGTTACATACTACTGAAATCTGCATTACTCCTGACCCCTGTGCTCTGCATTACGTACTCCTGACCCCTGATCTCTGCATTACTCCTGACCCCTGTGCTCTGCATTACGTACTGCTGACCCCTGAACTCTGCATTACTCCTGACCCCTGTGCTCTGCATTACGTACAGCTGAACAATTAACTCTTTAAACCTTTCTTATTAATGTGGCCTTGCTAAGGTCTGTCCTTTAAAAAAAAAAAAAAAAAAAGCGCACTGCACCCTGGTTATGTTTTGATCTTTTCCATATTCCGATGAATCTCCATCTCTCCAGGGTTGCCTACCACAGATAATATAAATGATGCACACTTTGCACTAGAGGTGCACTGAAATGCAAATTTCAATAACGAAAAAAAAATGTCAGGCAGAAACCGAAAATGTTTTTTATAATGACTTTTTAAAAAGGAGGCTGAGCGAGCGGTGTGGGGAGGAGAGCTCGTTCTGACAGCTAACTCCTCCCCCGCACCCGGCCGGCCTACTGTCACAGCGCTGGCTGTCTTCGCCCCCACACACCGCTCTCCTCTGATCTGTTACAGGAGGCTGAGCGGTGCGGGGAGGAGAGACGCCGGCCACTCCCAGAGCTCTCCTCCCGCAGTACTCGGCCGTCTGTAAAAGTTTCTCTTCTCGCCGCTGGGACACAGAGCAACGCCCAGCGGGGAGAAGAGAAAGAATGGATGCACCACTGTATCTGCCAGAAAATTGCACTTTCGGCATTATGCCAAAAGTGCCATTTTCGGCCGATGTGTTTCGGTGGCCGATATAACAGTTCATCCCTACTTTGCACATCTGTATCGACATGGAAGTGTGTATTTAGGTTTGGAGTGCTTCGTTGAAAAGGGCTCCTGCTATGGCTGCAACCAACTAATCGATAATGAGAATAGTTGTCAATTCCAGCACCCCTATTTTCTCCACAGGCTGTGATTATTCATCCTATCCTATAGCACCCTTCTCCGTGTGTGTGTGTGTGTGTTTACAATTTAATTGTATTGGGCAAAAAGAAAAATTTTAGCACATCTCTGCAATACATCCACATTCGCCGTGTTTTATCCCTTTTAAGAACCTGGAAAGTACAGAAAAATATTTGTTGATCCTGCCAGAAATCCAATGAGGTCTTAACTTCCTGTAGAGAGCTGCCTCTGCTGGATTAGAATCCCAAGCAGTGTTATCACACCTACCCAGTACTCCTGTGCTGGACTACAGAACACCTCCTCATGTTATGGAGATGGGGAGAACTGAGTAGGGCCGACTACACTGCTCGGGATTTCGGTGCTGCAGAGGCAACGTTGTCATCTCAGTACAGGAATTGGGAACACACTGGATTTTTGGCGGATCACATGGTATTTTTCTGTACTAGCAGTGTTGTTAAAGCGATAAAACCCGGGGCAATGCTCATGTATTGCAGAAATACATATATATATTTTATGGTGCCCCGGCATACTCTGCAACTCTACTCTGTAAATGGCCTGTCCATATAAGAAGGGTGGGAGAGATTTTGATTATGGGACCTCCGATTAACCGCCTCCCTTCTGGGTTATATTGTCTCATCTGCTTTATATTTACACCCCCATCCCCCCACCTTTCCTCCCAATAATCAGTTGTTCTCATTAAGAGTAGTTCTGCAGCACTGATTACCTCTTCATAATTACATATAATTACTGCCATCTCATATGGTGATTGCACCTATTTATAGGGCACGTGGAGGTTGCTGTGAGTGCTCCACTCCGCTCTGAAGACATTTAACCTCTGTGTTACTTAATCCGTACCAAGAGAGCTGTGTAGAATGGCAAACAATGCTAAATGACTGGCTGCCTGGTCACAATCTATTCAGAATCATTTACCCAAAACAAGCAGTCAAGTCAAATCTCCCGCTTGCTTGTTCCGGTCAGTGCCTCATCAAATATTGAATCTGTTGCATCCGTATGACAGCCAGGCACCAGAATTTTCAGGTCAGCGATGGCAGCAGGCATATTTTTATTTGGTTGGGGTTTATTTACTCTAACAAGATGTCTTCTATTTTGTTTCCAGTAGGAGGCTCTGTCACCATGCCTCAGAAGCTCTCCATGGAGAAGCAGGTCTACTCGGTGCCGCTAATCCAGCCGGACCTCCGGAGGGAAGAGACCATACAACAGATCACCGACACCCTGCAGCACCTACAGACCGTGTCAAATGACATCTTCAACAGGTACAGTATTGCAGGGGTCATGGAGGATGTGTGGTAACCCCTGTGTTTCTCCTGCTCCGTACAATATAAGGTATTCTTTAAAGCCGAGCTGCAGCCAAGTTGCCACATATGTGAACTGTTTTACTCACCAAAAGATTTGTAATTCTGTTCAGCTAGTTCTAAGATGCAAGTACTGCTGGCAGGCAACGCTGTCAGGTTCTTGTCCTCCCAGCAGATGACTTAGCAGTTAGGGTAATAGAGCCTGGACTGGGACCCACCCCAAGCCTGCGATTGGATAGTAGTTGGGGCAGCAACACATTTCCTTTCGAAAAGCTTGTTGCCTATGTTAGACTGACAGCGCTGAGCAAAGCTAGAGAACCTGACTAGTTTGGGATGCTGAGAAACCCCCTCTCCCAGTTTAAGTGCTGCTGTACAGGGTATTACGGGAGGGTGATCAAAACAGACTTAGGTACTTATGTTAGGATGTATTTTAATATACAACTATCCTGAATGTCTATACTACATACTGTATATTACATTCCCCACAACACACAATAGCTATAAGAATATATTTAAGCCCTTCATCTTATATACTATGTAATAAAAACTGTGAGCTGACTGTCATATCCCCCACACTCTTCTGCACATACTGCCTGCTGTCATATTCTCCACACTTCTTCCCTGTATATGCTGCCCACTGTGATACCCTCCTCACTCCTCTCCTGCATATATTGCCCGCTGTGATACCCTCCTCACTCCTCTCCTGCAATATATTGCCCACTGTGATACCCTCCTCACTCCTCTCCTGCAATATATTGCCCACTGTGATACCCTCCTCACTCCTCTCCTGCATATATTGCCCGCTGTGATACCCTCCTCACTCCTCTCCTGCAATATATTGCACGCTGTGATACCCTCTGCACTCCTTTCCTGCATATATTGCCAGCTGTGATACCCTCCTCACTCCTTTCCTGCATATATTGCCCGCTGTGATACCCTCCTCACTCCTCTCCTGCATATATTGCCCGCTGTGATACCCTCTGCACTCCTTTCCTGCATATACTGCCCGCTGTGATGCCCTCCTCACTCCTCTCCTGCATATACTGCCAGCTGTTATTTCATATTGCACTCCCCTACTGTACATAATTCTCCTTGTCGTACCCTCTGCACTCTTTTCCTATACATACTGCCGGCCTGAATACTGTCCTCACTCCTCCTCCTCCACATACTGTCTTCTATCATACCCTCAGCACTCTTCTCCTGCACATACTGACCATTGTTATATCCTCCACACTCCTTTTGTGCAAGTACTGCCCAGCATTCTACCCCAACACTCGTCTCCTGCATATCCTGCCCAATATCATACCCCTCATACATGTTAACCCCTCTTACACATACTGCCCGTCGGTATACCCTTCACACTCCTCTCCCATATATACTGCCAGTTGTTATACCTGCTGCATACCTCTTCTGTACATAATGCCCGATGACATACCCTCCATACTGCTTTCCTGCACATACCATCAGCACTCTTCTCCTGCACATATTGACTATTGTTATACCCTTTACACTCCTCTTCTGCAATACTGCCCACTGTCATCCCA